AACTGAAGTTGAGATGCCAGGTCAGGACTGATAACATTGCAGATTCTACTGTGGATTTTATCATAATCTCTAAATATATAGCAGAAATTATAGACCAGATGTGACAGCAATATTCAATGTATTGATGCATGATAGACTTATAAATACAGATTTCTGCAAGGAAAAACTGTCTATCATGACAGAGTGAACCAAATTTTCTAGCAGCAGACATAACAATTGATTCAATATAGTCTTTCCATTTCATGCCACTGATAAACAACAGATTATAGATATTTTTTTACCATTAAGACAGGAATAAATAGTTGTGCCATCAACAGAGATATCAAGTTGAGAACTGAGGACATCAGGATGTGAGTTTGATATTATATAGATTTGATCTACTCACAGATTGCTCAGTGAAGGTTGGCAGTTGCTTTATTGTATCTTTGTATATATTCTGTTTCTTGTCAATTATGAGCACCCAGAGACTAAAGGGTCCAATATTTATTGTTGCTTGTTCTTATAATGCACATGTTTTTTATTATTGTATAATATTTTTTTTTATTTTCTTATATAAAACTGGAGAGATTATTTAAATATGAATATTTTTATTGAGCAAACACCTTGAGTTTGTATGTAGACAGGGAATGAGTTTAAAGACAAGAAAGAAGAGTGTGGCAAATGTTGCAGAAATTTAACTAGCAAGGTAGTAACCCCAAAAGATGAAAAGTATCACACAGGAATCTGAAGGTTCATAAAAATAGCTAAAGAAATTTTTCCAGAAACTGAGCAAAGTATTAAGAGACAGGAAAATGTCCTTAGAAACTGATATGTCCCAGAAAGGGATATATTTGATCGAAGTAGCTAAGTGGGTTTTGGCTACTGTAGTACACGGTAGCAGTAATCAACTGGTGCTCGTGGTAGTCGCATGTAATAGGTGTAGACCAATAGAATAGCCAATGGCATAGTCCAATGGGCATCATCATAGACTTAAACTCTGTAATACCGACACGTCCGTCTGTATTTATGACAGACACCAGCCAATCATATTCCATTGAGGGGGAACTCAGGTGTATGCATATTATATTATATCAGAAACAAAGAAGAATGATGAACTGCTATGTAATATATAATTTCTTCATATATATACTGTTTGTAAGTACTATCACAACATTTTGACAATTGTTTCCTGGCCTTCATCAGGTATATATCAATCAAGGTAACCTACAGGGAATTCTCAAATGAATGCTTTATTTACCCTATGGGGTAAGCTGTTCTCATTTGACAGCCCATGTCTAGGTATATCTCATCTAATTCTTATTTTTTTACTGCTCAGATATTACTTGCTCTGTTTCAACTGAGCCCAAGTACACACTGCCTGGGCCAGGGATTGAACTCACAATTACTATGTCACCAAAAAATCTTCAACAGCTGCAGCAGCTCTAACAAAAGAGAAAAGCTTCAGTGTGTGTAGTTGAACATGACAAGAATCAGCAGCACAAATTAGCAGGCAGGTTAGTTTTAAGGCTCCAAGTTCCCCACAGTTAATTGTCTTACAGGACAATAGATTAAAGTGGGTTACTCGGATTCATATAGACCTGATGAAAGCCAGAGGGTATAATGGCTGAAACATTGTGATAACAACAACAGAGATGAGGACAATAGTCCAAATGTACATAATGTAAATAATGATGACTCCTCATCTCAAAAATTCAGACAGAAATGATCTCATTTCCTATCAGGAATTGTTGACCAATTGATATTTTAGCGATATATAATGAGGAAAGAAGGCTTGGAGACTTTAACATTTTCAAAATTACATTGGAGTTAAAAGAAGTATTGGGAAGAACAGCAAATAACGCACTTGCTAAATTTGATTAAATGGATAGAAGAACAATAACGAGGACGTAAAGGAGCAAGAATTACGTAGAGCAGCAAAGATCAGGAAATTGTGGTGCAACCAATGATTGTTCATCTACTGAAAGGGATATAACAAAGAAATAGAGAGTGAGAGAAACAGAGAGAGAATGAAAGAGATTTTTAGGGAGAAAACTCATATAAAACTAATAGGATTACTTTATTGGGAATTATCAACACAAATTTTAATCATCATCAGTATTGTCATCATCATCATCATTAGTATTGTCATCTTCATCTTTTTCCTTTATAATTATATTTGTAATAACATCTTTATTTATAATTTAATAAAATTTATTTATTATTGCAGATATACTCTCTTCCTTCTCATAATCATCCTCATCATCAATTATCATTATTTTATCATAACATTATTATCTTCAATTTTGTAAATCATGTCATGATGTTAATAATAATAATAATAATAATAATAATAATAATGACAAATGAAACAATACAAGCAATTTGGCAAGACATTATGATCAAAGATGGAACAGAAACATTTTGCATAGTGATTAACGTGAGCATACCAAATAACATGTCTCTGAAGGTTTTTGAAAAACTAAGCAAATACAAAAACATGAAGATGGATATATAAAGAATGTAGCATTCAAAAGATGAAGCTGTTCCTGCTATGGTTGGAGCTTTGGGTCTGATCAAGAAAGGAAATCAATAAACAAATTAACAAAATCACTGATGCACAATCTGTCAAGGAAATCCCCAAAAATATTTTGATGGTAATAACCTTGTTGTTATCATAGACGTCAACAGAAGATTCCTCTGATTATTCATTTATTTTTGTCTGATATGTGAGAAGGCATTTCTCTAGGAATTCCTCAAATCTAACTTGACTTGCTAAAATCATCCAAATTTCTTATTCATTCTTATGAACACTATTTTATCTATGTTTTATTATTTATCAACTCACTAGAATTGTTATTTTCAGTCAATTGTTTTTTATTTATTATTCACATTATTTATATATGAACTATTGTCTTTAACTTCATTGTTATCACAATGTTTCAGCTGTTGTGCCTTCATTAGATGCTTGTCAATTCAAGTAACCTTCAGGGAATTTCACATTGTAACCTTTATTTAGTCTATAGGGATGGATTTTCACATTATGTTGATCATGACTAGGGATATCTCATCTAGTTCTTATTTCGTACAGCTAAGTTATTGCTCATCCTATTTTCAATGGGTCCAAGTATACACTGCTCAGCTCAAGGATGGAACTCATAATGACTATATCACCAAATTAATAAACCGATGCTTTGTGCAAAAATTGGTTGGAAACACACACAAGAAAAGAAAATGAGTGGGGGGGGGAGTTAGTACAAGTCCAACAGTTTCACTAGGCAAAACAAATGCACTCGTCTTGTTTCAATTTCTCATACACCCCTCACCATCAGAAGCTAAAAGCCAACTACTATTGAATGAGCATACCATGTTTTTATACACCTGACCCAGCCAGCACTCAACCAATGAGCACCCAGAACCAGCCAAAAAAAAATGGCTACAAGCGACACCACCATTTCCATTTGCACAAAGTGCTGTTCAATTTACCGTCAGTCCGACATTCACCATTTCCACACTCCCTTGCAAAACGTACATGTGACTCTGACCCTTTTGGGTCACCAACATAAGTCACCACTACATACTTTAATCCACTTTCATTATTTTCTTTGACATCTTCCCACAAAAAAAGGCAAAGTCACACTTATATTGTTCTGTGGATGATGTAAATAAGCATTGAAATATTAATGATATCAAACATGATTCATGCTTCTAAATATGTTTTTTTCATTTCAGTTCTTAAAATTGTGCAAGGGAACATGAGTTTTTTATTTTTATTTTTCATCTTCTCATTATGATTACTTTCTTCAACCAAACATTCTTATGAAATAAAATCGCAACTGAGTTTCAAATCATTGCGTTCCTCATTGCTTTCGGATTTTAGTCAGTTGTCTCATTATTTTCATCCCAATTAGAAATGAGTCATAATTTTCTCCAATTTTATTAACATTGTTTGATTATTAGGAGGCACAGTGGAGTAATGGATAGCGGCTCGGATTGAGGAATCAGAGAGCCGAGTTTGAATTCCAGTCAGATCCATTACATTCATTTACTTTGGGATATGTATGAATCATCTTCTCCTCACAGGGTAAATAGCAGGACAGACTGGCTTCTATAGCCTTGGATGGCAACTGGTCTACCACAGAAAGAAATGGAAACCTACTGCAGGGAAAAAATCTGCCTCATCAGTCATGTATTGAAAGATACATGATCACCTAAGTGTGTATCATGCATGGCATATAACTGACTGAAGGTGATATTGTCTTAGGTAGACTAATTTTTTTCATTACCTTTTAGTCATCTTAGAGGACCCTTTTTTGCCTTTCATCACTATGGCTGATGCTAACCTCCATGGAATCAATTCATTGTGACTTCCTGGTCTCACGTTTTCCACTGATGTGAAGTGGAATGATTATAATGAATAAAATGCTAGGTCTGCTGCTAGAAAAGTCACTAATTTTAAGGAGACTAACTCACGGTGGAGTAATGAATAGCGGCTCAGATTGAGGAATCAGAGAGCTGAGTTCGAATTCCAGTCAAATCTATTACATTCACTTATGTACTAATACCCTTGGGGAAGGAATGAATCCACTTCTCACCTAGCTGTGGGTCAAAAACAGGACAGACTAGGTTCTATAGCCTTGGATGGCAACTGGTCTACTGTAGAAAGAAATGGCAACCTACTTTGGGAAAAAATCTGTTTTGTCAGTCATGTCTCTAAAGATACATGATCGCCTAAGCATGTATCACACATGGCGCATAACGGACTGACTTAATTATTACAAATCCATTCTTTCTGTTTTTAACATCTATTCTTTGCTAAATGATTGTCTACTATTTCTTTGCTGCATGTGGGCATCAGAATGAAAACAACTGAAAAAAGAATCAACAGAAAAAGAAAACCAAAAGTGTGGTGTGGGAGGGAGCCCAAAACACTTCAGAATGTAAAAGAAAGAGAGGAACAGATTTTGTGTTTAAGGGAGAAAGAGGGTGGAGGAGAATGTATAAATAATTCATTGTTTGGAGACAAGATAAGAGACAGATGGACAGAGAGGGAAAGGAAAAGAAAATTAAGGCTTAGAGAGAGAGAGAGAGGAAGAGAGAGAGAGAGAGAGAGAGAGAGAGAGTGGGAGCATGAGTATAAGAGAGAAAAAGAGAGCATGAGTGAGATTGAGAGTGAGAAAGGGAGAGCATTGTTGAAAGAGAGAAAGGGTGAAAAATAGAGCATGAGAGAGAGAAAAAAAAGTATAAGTGATTATGAATGAGGGAGAGAAAGAAAGAATATGAGTGATATTGAGAGAAGGTAAGTAAGAGAGCGTGAAAAAGAGAGAGTATGCAAGAGAGAGAGTATAAGTGAGAAAGAGAGATCATGAGGAGGAAAGAAAGAATATGAGAGATATTGAGAGAGGGTAAAAAAGAGAAAACATGAGTGAGAGGCTGAGAAAGAGAGAGCATGGGAGAAAAAGTGAGACAGAGAAAGAGAGAAAGAATCATTGAAAGAAGAAGTAAAGTGAAAAGAATTTTTACAATGAAATCTTAGAGACGTTCAAATAACATTGACAAAAATATTGATAAAATTTCAGTGTGATGGGGATGGATTTGATTGATTCATTTTTTACAGCTTATCAACCCTTTGCAGTTTATTTAAAGCCAGAAAATATTTTTAATTTGTAAGAATTATTTTTGTGAGATAAGGATTTAGTGATACAAGTCTTATTAATTAACCCATAGCTGGAGGGAAAAGCTGGATTAATACCTTTTGATGGGGATGGAGAAGAATAAAAAGAGAAAGAATGAAAGGTCTGAATTATAAAAGGAGAGAGAAAGAGTGAGAAGGAGAGAGAAAGATAAGGAAAAGTAAATTGAAAGCATGTGAGAGAGAAAGGGTAAATGAAAAAAGAAATAGAAAAATCAAACGAAAAAGAAAAAAGAGAGGGGAAAGAAAATAAGAGAGAAGGAAAGGGAGATAGAGAAAGAGGTAGGAAAGAGAGAGAGAGAGAGAGAAGAAACAGGGAAAAAAGGGAGAAATTGAAAAGAAATGAAATGAGAAAGGAGAAAGAAAGAGAAAAAGTGACTGAGAGAAAGAGTTAGTGAGAAAGAGAGAGAGTGTGTGAGAGTGAGAATTTAAGGAAGGTAAGATTTCTCTACTGATTGAAAATCTTTCAGTCTTTGAGAAGGTTAATCCAGATGTAGTCTATGCCAAAGATAGTAAATCACTCCTGCTGCCTTCTCGTTTAGCTATGATTTTTTCTTCTCTTGAATTGTATTTTTTGTTCATCAATCCTGTACTAATTACGTTCTTCTGTTCTTTTAACAGTTTTTGTAGTAAAGGAAAAGTCAGAGAATTTGTCATTTTTTTAAGTTTATTCCGTTATCAGTTTTGAAAATTGATTTTGCTTGCGTGAATAATGTTGCTTCTCAAAAAAGTTGGTATCTGCAAACTGCCTTTATTTTGTGTTAAAAAGCTTCTTTTTTTTTTAATTACTGGATACAAGCGTGCTCATTACTGCATTCCAACAATATCTATTAACTTTTCTCTCAACCGACCTCACATTTGCAATCTGGGTCTCCAAGTTTAAAGCATCTCTCTGCTCCAGTTACACATCACTTTCCTGACATTGTTAGCACTTTGCAATTAACAAAACCATTTCTTCTTTCCTGTAAATTATTGCACACTTGCACAGTTTCAGAAATTATTTTCACTGTTGAATTTTGAGGAATAAAGATATTGTGATTATTAAGTTTCATTTTCAATAACTGCTAGTTTGTGGAAAAGACTCCCAAGAAGATGCTTTTTCAATCACTAGAATCTTTACTTCTTCACATCTAGACTCAAACATTATATTTTCTCATAATCTGCACTGACTTCCTCCTCTTGTGTCCATACAATAAATTCATTCAGTAACTCAGTAAGGGAAAATAAAAGGTTTCAGAAAGCCATAACATAAGGTTTCAATAAGCAGTAAGGTTTCAAAAAGCTGTAAGGCAAGGTCTCAATAAGTAGTAAGGTCTCAAAAAGCCATAAGGTAAGGTTTCAATTAGCAGTAAGGTCTCAAAAAGCCATAAGGTCACAAAAAGCCATAAGGTAAGGTTTCAATTAGCAGTAAGGTCTCAAAAAGCCATAAGGTTACAAAAAGCCATAAAGTAAACACAATAAACAGTAAGGTAATTTCACTCAACTAAATCACAGCTAAACAAGTAAATGTACTAATGTCTGGTGGTAAAAAGTATTTTCAAAGCAGTGCCCTTGACTCGTGACACTTAGGATTGACCAAAAGTTAAACAAATTTGTATGTTTACTGACCTATAATACTGACCTCACCCAATGGAAAGATTTTTTTTTCTACAGTAACAGCATGCAATATGGAAGTGTACTGTTCAATGAGGTTAGGCCACTATTTTCTTCTGTACAAACCCTCTACATTAAGTAACTTCTGAGATTTGTGTCAGTTGAATATTTAGTAAAAAAATAAGTTTTTTAGAGAACAGAATGAGTGAAATCAATTTGATACTCTATTGATTTTATAGGAATATAAAAAGTAATTACCTCACTTTGGTGGAGATGAAGTCACATGGGTCACATGGTGGATGCTTAGTGATGATACTTCATAGAGTGATAAAAGTTCCTAATCAGTCAGTTAACTACCTTGAGTAACAACAAATGAGTTGTTCTTTCTGGCCAGGCTTCTGCTTGGGCCAGCCATCTGCCACATGATGCAACTTACAAGCCCGTGGCACTGTTTTCCCTTTGTGAGTATATCTTCACCAGATACAGAATCCATCTCTGACTCACAGTCCTCAATTTGGGAAAAACCATGGCTATCCTGTTTGAGAGGAATATATCCTTGCCTGTAATATAGCAGATAAATTCAGCCTGCCTGAATCTAAAGCTCTAAATATGGCTTCCCCAGAAACACAGAAGAATCTTTGGCAGCTTGGAAGCAAGAAGTTGGAAGAGAGTTCCATAAATAAGAAGTGTGATAGAAGAAACTAGCAGCATAAAAATTTTGTTTACAAGTAGCAATTTCAACTATAAAATGATGAGACCTAGCTGCCAATCTAGTACTGTGTTTAAATTTGTACACAAAGAGAAAAGCTCATCAGAACAATTGCTATGCAAATATTTCTAGAAAAAGACCTTAGAAGTAACAGTATGGAGATGCCAGATCAAAGTCAATAACATTTGAGATTCATTGGATTTTATCAAGAATTTCTAAATATCACAATACTTTACACATACAAATATTTCATTACTGTGTCAACTTAAAGCATAATTATTGTCCTTCAGCAAGACTCTTCTGACCTCATATCCATCTTGGAATACATATAGGCTTATATATATATATATATATATATATATATATATATATATATATATATATATAATATTGGTATTCTCCATTGTAAATTACTTTAACTGTAATTAGTGACTTTCTAATTAGATGTCTGAGTTTGATTAATTAAAAGTTTTAGGACAACTGCATGAATAAAATAAATAAAACTGCTAAGAATAATAATTCTTATATATATATATATATATATATATATATATATGCACTAAGAGGACTGTATATACATGTGCAGAGATTATATATATATATATATATATATATATATATTATTTTTTTTTTTCTTTTATTGTTTTTTAGGGCCTAGCAATCATAGGTTATTTAAAGACAAAAAATATTTTTTGTTGGCATAATAATGACTTATTAATGCAAGTTCTACGAATTAATCTATAGCTGGTGGGAGAAGAGATGGATATCCTTTTCCGAAGGGTATTTGTGCTTAAGTGAAAATAACAAACATCACTGGAGATTGGAACTCATCTCTCCAATCTCCGGTTCTGAGCCGTTATCTATTACAGTCCACATCCAAGCTTACAGCAACTGGTATTCTAGATACTGATCAGGCTCAACATTTCTTAACTTTGGTAATCACACAAAAACAGCTGTTTCAACATTATATTGCTGTAAACCATATATAACAATAAAATCCCAAATCACCTCATATGGGGAATAGCCTATTTTGGCAGACAAAGATATCGGTTGTCTGTCTTATCAACCCTAGTGTGAGATGAGTTTGTGTCAGAAATAGAAATTTAGCTAAAAAACAGTTGAAAAACTACTACAGAATTTATCCATTTCAATGTTTCAGTCAGACAAAATGCATGAGATGGGGTCAGGGTAGAGTGGAAGGTATTTGTATTAAAGGGAAGAAGTTTTATAAAATTAAACTCAAATATTAACTTTATGGCATTAATTTGGTTTTATATGAAGAATGAAATATTAATTTCGAATTAAAAAAGAAATAAAATATATAGATAAAAGGATGTAAGGGATTATTGAAAAGAGACTTGGGGAGATCTTAGAATAGGTGAAAGTTTATAAATTATAATTAATATAGGTAAAGAGGTTATAGAGGAGGGAATATAAAAATTAGAATTACTTATACATTTGACATTTGAAAAGTTAGAGGTGAATGAATATTATGGAAATATAGTAGTTAATTAAGTCAAACCTATATTATGGAAATTTGAATTTGTTTTTATGTCAACATTTTAACGCTGATTCATTCCTCTGATTCAATAGTTGTTTTTGATTATTGTATTTTATTATTCTAATCTTTTCTTCTAAACATAAGTCACACCTGTCTCTAAGACTATTAGCAGTACGTGTGGAATCTATAATCTTCCAAATTATCTGTGGGCTCAAACCTTTCTCATTCAATTCCCAAAATTTCTTTGAAAGAGCTGTCTGGTGTCTTAGTTTTAGTTCTGCCTTTCATCTGACTGAAACATTGAAATGGATAAATTCTATATTAGTCTTCTGCCTGTTTTTTGTTTTTTTTAGCTTTCACAGTTAATTTCTATTTCTGACACAAACTCAGTCCACACCACATAAGACAGACAACTGATATCTTCGTCTATTGAAATCAGCTATTCCCCATATGAGGTGATTTTTTGATTTTATTGTTTATTAATTATTTGCTGTGTATAATATGTTGATCTCTTTTTGTTGATCAGTTTTAATATTTTATATTACTACAATCCACTTGGATTATATACCAATAGAATTGTTACCATTGCTATATATATACCTATATATATATATATATATATATATATATATATATTTGTCTTGGTTATATTAAAAAAAAGTG